CTGTTTCATTTACACATCAGTCTGTCTGCATCTCTAAAGCTCAAAATGCTCAGTTCCACCTTGTGATGTCATGAAGCAGGAGTTTTGAAGATAACAGCTCCTTTTAATTTTAGTTTCAGAAGAGATTTGCAATTCCAGGGCTGAAATAATCCACATGATTCTAGTGAAGGTGTGTGGAGTTTACAGGACACAGTGGAGTGTTTGGAGTCATGGGTCAAAGGTCGCACAGAAATCACCTGAGGCTGGAAGTGGCTCTCGTGTTCTGGCCTCCCGCACATGGAGAAAGAACTGCAGCCTTAAAAAACAAAACAAAAAAACAACCAAAAGAGGCAGATAAGAGCTCAAAGGAAGTGCAAAGGAGAAAGGTGGTTTGCTGTGGCAGGAGGTAAGTGCATCTGCCCGGAAACACGACAGCATCTCACCTATTTTATCTTCTCTCCATTGGCTCCCAGCATCTTTTAGAATTTAGAATTGATTTACTTTTAAAGGTTGTAGGGAGGATTTTTTTTTTTTTTTAGTTTCAAATTGTCAGTGAAAGTTTAAAATACTATTACAGAAATGCAGCCTTGCAAAAAAAAAAAAAAAAAAAAAGAATGAAAATCTATCAACTGTGGATGTAGTGAGCCCAGATAAACATCAGCCAATAAATAAAAAGGCTCCCTCATTTTCTATTGGCTGTTAGGTTGTCAATCAAACTCATACATTGGGGCGGCAGTAGCTCAGTTGGTAAAGCATTCGCCCACTAATCTGAAGGTTGGCAGTTTGAATCCAGCTCTCAACATAAACATCACAGGTTGAGTGGTCAGATCCACTGACCCACAGGTTGGCTGGTGTGATTCCAGCTCCCACAGATGAATGCAGTCATTGTGTCCTTGGGCAAGACACTTAACCCACCTTGCCCACAGTGTCTGCGTACACTGGTGTGTGAATGTGTGTGTGTGAATGGGTGAGTGGTTCCTTGTTGTAAAGTGCCTTGAAGGTGGAAAAGCACTATAGAAAATGTGACCCTACATTTCTAGTGTAAGTGACTCGTCGATGCATTGGGATTAACGTGGTTTATGCAGTGGTTCTTAAAAAAAAAAAAAAAAAAAAGAATGAAAATCTATCAACTGTGGACATAGTGAGGCCAGATAAACATCAGCCAATATATTTCTATTGGCTGTTAGGTTGTCAATAAACTCCTACATTTCTAGTGTAAGTGACTCGTCGGCACACAGGGATTACGTGGTTTATGCAGTGGTTCTTAGATGGCTTTTCAAACTACAGCTTCCTCGCATTTCGCACAAAGTTTGCTGCGATGGCGGATAAGAATCCGCGACCAGTTCGCCGCAAAAGAAAGTCAGTTTTTGAGGTCGCTGAAAGAAGAAGAGAAGGAGAAAAGGAGCAAAACCAAACTGAGGTGATTCTTGGAGATTCCTTCCAGCAATGGCGCGACTGAAGCAGAGGAAGGGTCTAAAAACTGACGCATCGGTTGCTAAATTATTTCTAGACATGTCACTTCAACAGTAATTCTGAATGCGCACTGGCTTTAAACAAGCTGATTTATTTATTTATTAATTTATTTTATTTATTTATTTATTTCTGTCACAGGTATATTTTGACATTAATTCATAAACAGTCATATTTAACATATACAGACCAAAAAGGTGCAGGCTGAAGCTTAAGCTTATTCTGCCTTTACCCTTTATTCCTTTGTCAGAGCTTCATCTTGACACCCATTCATCTTCTAAATACAGCAGGAAGAAACAAGCTAATCAGTAACAGAACAACAAAGTATTACAGCACAAACTAAGTCTCATATTTCATGTATCTGTCCAGAGTTAAACGTTTAAACTTCTTTATGAAGTGAAAGAAAGTGGTGCACAATTTGAGGTTTTCTGTACAGTTGTTCCAGAGCTCCGCCCCTTTAACAGATTTACACAATTTCATAATGTTTGTTCTGATTTTCTTTTTAATAAACATGGTCGTGCCTCTGAGCTCATATCGGCTCTTTCGGATTTTGAACATGTTCTGTAATGATTTTGACAGGAGATTGTTGTTTACTTTGAACATGATTTTAAGAGTGTACAGGTCGACTAAATCGTAAAATTTCAGCGTTTGAAGGTTTATAAATAATGCATTGGTTGGTTCGTTATAAGTTGATAATGTGATGCTCTTATTGCCTTTTTTTGTAGGGTAAAGATTGGCTTTGTATTCGTCTTATATGTATTGCCCTTATATGTATTTGTAGAGTAAAGAGGAGGAGGAGGTGTTTCTACTGAGGCTGTGGAGGAGGAAGGTGGTGTCACACATGCACAACATTTGAAAAAGGACTGTCGCTGTATTACAGAAATGCAGCAGCCTTTTAATTAAGATGACCAAGGAAAAGGACTGTCGCTATATTTCTCTTCCCTTAAAAAATCCTCTATACAACCTTTAAGTGTTTGCACGGCCCAGCGTCCTCCTACCTCACAGACCTGACCCTCCCTTATGTCTCGTCTTGCACTCTCAGGTCACCAGACCAGCTCCAGCTCACTGTCCCAAAGACTAAACTTGAGCTTTGTGGGGCCTGTGTGTTTCCTGTTGCTGCTCCTCGGCTGTAGAACCAGTCTCCATTAGAGATTTGACAGGCCGAGTCTGTACCTGTTTTTAAATCACTTCTAAAAACACCTTTTTTTCACTGGCTTTTAACAAGTGACACATACATTTCTTGTTGTGAGTATCTCATTGTTTTCTATGTTTTTAGTAGCTGTATTGTATTGTTTGTGTTTGTGCAGCTTTTATCTAAACTTTTTTTATCTTTTAAACTTTTTGAACAAGTTATGCACGTTTTTATTTCATCACACCTGGACGACTGTAACGTACTTTATTCCGGCATTTCACAAAACGCACTTTACCGACTACAGTGAGTCCAAAACTCTGCAGCATGACTTTTAACAGGAACAAAAAGGACAGAGAGCACATCACCCCAATCCTTGCATCTTTGCTCTGGCTTCCTGTTCATTTTAGAGTCTCCCTGATGTTTCCTTTTTGCATTCACGGATTGGGGACGGGACTCGGGTCATTGGATCAGAAAACAACAAGTTCAAACGCTGGATCAAGGAGGACACTGAAATCAGGGCACAAGGCACGGACACCATTAACCGTGATGACGGAGCGTTCCTCCTTTCACACACCTGGGACACCCTCCTCCAGAGAACAGCAGGCGACAGGAGGCGTGGTCAGTCTGAGCGACCTGCAGGTCCATCAGGCTGACCACGCCCACAGGAAGTAACAACAGCTGATATACGACACGTCAACACCAACACCAGGACAGATCTGAATATGGCTTGCAGCTAACAGCCCAAACATGTCAACAAGGTGTTCTCTGGAGGAGGGTGTCCCAGGTGTGTGAAAGGAGGAACGCTCCGTCATCACGGTTAATGCTGTCTGTGCCTCGTTTCCTGATTTCAGTGGCCTCCTTGATCCAGAGTTTGAACTTGCTGTTTTCCAATCCAATGACCCGAGCCCCGTCCCAATCCATAACGTGGTTGTTTCTTTAACAGTGTCTGATATGGCAGATTTTAAGTTTTCCTGTTCTGCTTTTCTTTTTGTGTTCTGGTGAGTCTACCTGATGTTTCCTTTTTGCAGAGGCACGGACAGCATTAACCGTGATGACGGCGCGTTCCTCCTTTCACACACCAGGGACACCCTCCTCCAGAGACACCGGGCGACAGGAGGTGTGGTCAGTCTGAGCGACCTGCCAGGTCCATCAGGCTGACCACGCCTACAGGAAGTAACAACAGCTGATATACGACACGTCAACACCAACACCGAGGACAGTTCTGAAGATGACTTGCAGCTAACAGGCGAAACATGTCAGCAAGGTAAATACACTTTACTGCATTGTAGGGATGGGCATGATTAGTCAATTAATCGATAATTGATCATTAAGAATTTCATCGATTACTTTCATTTTAATCGACAAACCGAATGTAGGTTGCTGTGTGTAGTGTGACCAAACAGGTGTGTACATGTGTCTCTGCACTCAAAAGGAGCGAGCAAACAGAAACAGTTGGTCAATCTGTAACGTACCGAAGCACAAATGTGGATTTAACGATGATTTGTACAAGAAATTCCATGCTTTCCGTTGTGTTCCGGACAAGTGGGAGGCCATGTGCACAAAGCAGCACATATGTTTCTGTGTCCAGTGGGAAAAAGTTTTGCCAGGTGAGAGTCGTGCAATGTGGATGACGAGTCCCCACCTCCCTCCACCCGTACGGTGTCCTGGTTTTGACAAACACAAATATGATCACACTAACCTGTATTCCACTGAGTCGTGTCTTTTAATCCCACAGAAATTGAACCACATCAGCGACACAAGAGCTGTAGTTTTATCTTCGCTTAGTTTATGCAAATTAGCGATGTGGTTTTAAGTTTCGTTTCTGTGAGAGTTGCGCAAAACTGAATTAAACACATTCTAATGTCAATCGGGCTGATGTGGCTCTAGAGTCGTTATGCTTTATATTTCGTAAAGTTGAATTTATTTATGCAGATTAGTAGTGCAGATAGTAATAATAATGATGATCGTTAAAATATAAAAATGTTAATGATTAATCGATAATCGATCGTTAATTCTTCCGATGATCGATTAAGAAAATTTCATCGAATGCCCATCCCTACTGCATTGTCTTTAAGAAGAACCCAAGAAGTTAAAGTATATAAGAAGACAAAATGAACATCACTGGCTTAAGATGCAGATGAACCAAGTTTACACTAAAGTTGCCACAACACGACAGAACAGTGGATAAAACACCATTCCACTTTAGCTTTACCATGAAACTGACTGAATGTGCATCGTGTCTCTAGAACTGCTGAACATTGCGTCATAGTGGTACATGCGGAACACCCCCGGCGCGACGTCACTGCAGTATTATCAACAGACTGAAAAAAATGAGCACATCTCCTGAGAGAAATGAAGAGTCCATTTTGAATCCAATGTTACATTTGTTCAAAGTTTATTTAAATAATTATATCTGTGAAATAAGAGACAGGGAGGGGCTTTGAAAACAGTAAAGACACAACCTGGAACATGCATTTTACGCTACATTATGCAAGAGGAGCCTGGATTATTATATTAAATACAGCATGTAGAACAAATTATGACCATTTCAATATAATATAATAGTTTTCAGTGATTTCTTACAAGATTCAAATGAGCCACAACAGCCAGAAGATGAAGAAGAATACTGTTTTGAAAATGAAGCTACTGCACATCACATCAAGTTGTGAAGTTGTAGTGCACAGTTTTGTATCACGGTTTTCTATATTTACGGAGAACTGTCGTGTGAGGGCGCAGGTGATGGGGCTTGTGGGTGGAGCCTTGTACAGTACGGTACTGCTGACCATAAGGAGGGTTCAAATAGGGCGTGGGAGAGATCACTAGATTACTCAAACATGCAAGGATGTTGTCTAAAACCTCTTCAGGCTTGTTTTTGATGAGGGAATAACCTTATAACATGGTGGAAAGCTAAAAAATGAAAATAAAATAGATTTTGCATAATAGCCCCTCTTTAAATGATAAGACATACAATAAGTAATCCATTACTCCAAAAAGAGAACAAATATACAGACAAGTAATCTGAGTCATGAATGAATGTAATAACACAAACAAAAGTGAAACTATGAGAGGCTTAAGGTATTTGCACAGAACAAGTGTGAACCTGTACCATTTGTTTATTGCTGCATTGATATATTGATACTTGAATAATTGAAGTTTATATAAAGATGCAATTTGCATCAACAGGACGCTGCTTTAACTGAGACTGAGGCAGCTTTAGTTCAACTGTGATCTGCAAACTGGATACCACCTGCAGACCACATCACCAGAATCCAGGACTCAACCAGGATTCAACCAGGTCTAAACCAGGAAACCTAAACCAGGCTTAAACCTGGTCTAAACCAGGATTTAGCCAAGTCTAAACCAGGTCTAAACCAGAAGATCTAAACCAGGACTAATCCAGGATTTAACCACAGTCTACACCAGGAGGATTAAACCATGAGGCCTAAAACAGGACTAATCCGGTACTAAACCTGAACTAAACCTGGACTAAACCTAGTCTAATCCAGGACTAAATATGAAATAAACCAGTACTAAACCTGGATTAACCCAGGAGGTCGAAACCAGGAGTAAACCAAGAATTCTTGGTCAGAACTTTTACAATAACATTCATTTTGAAAATGGTCAACAACATCTTACGTCTTCAGACACGCTCCAGAGCTTTTAGCTAAGAACCTACAGTCGTTTCTCTACATCAAGCACATGTCCATAATGTCACTGATCTGCAGGTCCATTCATTTGCTCTTTCTTCACAAAGAAAGTTGAGATCATGATCACAAAGACTACTTCGCTGGAGGAGTTTGCCTATTGTGCAGGTTGATGGGAGAGACCAGAACACCCAAAGAACCCAGACACAGAGAGAACATGCAAACTCCACACAGATGGCTCCAGAGTCCAGGAATTGAACCGAGAACCTTTGTGTTGTGAGTCTAGCACTGTCCATTCATTTTGCATTGTGCTTTGACTGAAAGTGTCCAACCACTTAAGACCCGTATAGAACATACAGTACATCAGTCCACTTACATCTAACCAACTTTCAAAATTTATCAAGCATGTTTTTCTCCTTTTGTGTTTATGTCCAAAAATGTCTCTGACATTTATTTTATTTTACAATCCCTGACTCTGCAGCCTCAGTATCTCTGCTGCTAATCTTTGAGGATCTAAAAGTTGGGGGTTCAGATTCATTGCCGTATCCACCAACTGCGCGCTGAAAATCGCCAGTAACTTCTTTCGAACTCCCTCTCTCTGGTCTTTAGTGTGTCCTGCGCTCACTTGGCTCTGCTCCCACTGTGAACTCTCCTCCGGTACCCTGCACATGGCTCTAGGGGGCGCCATATACGGGATCAGACCAGTACACTGGCTGTGGCGGTCTGTGCACGCTGTGCTGAAACTCTGGAGGATGACTGTACGCTTGCATCCCGCCACTGTACGAGCCGTAGTTTGGATAAGGAGCCATGTTGTAAGCTAGGTTCATTTCTGATTGGGTGACGTGTGGGGGCTGCTGGAAGCAGTGGTGAGAAACAGTGACGTGACAGTTGTGGCAGGGGGCGCTGTGGGGCTGGGAGTACAGGCTCGTCCCATAGGGGGTGTCAATGTGCGGGTCGATGGAGCCCAGACCAGAGTCCAGATCGTGGGAGTCGACGCTGGAGAGCGAGCTCTGCTCCAGTGAGCTGTGCCGAGGTTTTCTGTCCTTCTTAGAGCAGCTCTTCTTGCTGTGGCCTTTGCTGTGAGAGCTTGTCCCATGTGGAATGGTACTGGTGTCTGAATGATGCTCTTTCTTCATGGAGCCGCCCAGAGTCAGTTTTTTGGCCATGTCCTCCACCAGAGACAGGCTGTGCCCGGGCGCAGGCGTAGGGGGCGGTAGAGAGCTGCGGCTGCGCAGTTCGTCGGCCACGCTCTGGTTGGACTGTTTGGGACGCTCCGGGTGCAGGAAGCGGCACTTGATCCCAAACGTGCACTTCTTTCCTGGAAACACAAATGAATTTGGTCAAATCAAAGTAAACAGTGTGTTTTTATAGACAGGCCTGTTACACTTCAGTGCATCAGACTTCACACTTCTCAGAGTTAATCAGTAAAGGTCCTAATGACCCCAGCAGGGCAGAGCTCTCTGTACCTCTTACACTGAGGAGCACAAGTTTAACTATATGTCAAACACATTCTTCAGCTCAATGCAAATGTGTGTCCAAACCAAGATTATCATTAAGAAGCATGTAAATGGTGATTTAGAGTATACTGTCATTGAATCAGGTCTCAGCCATGTGGTTCACTCACCGTAAGGACAGGGGCCCTTCTTCTGGACGATGGGAGATTTGCGCCGCAGGTCATCCAGAGAAGGACCATGTCTCCCCATTGGGTCATCGGGAGGCATGAACCTGAGGGAGAAGAGCAGAGGAGAGGGTCAGAGGAGTTAGAGGAGCAGAGGGTCAGAGAAGCAGAGCAGAGGGTCAGAGGGTCAAACTCACATGTTGTTGACGAAGGTGAACATGATTAGTCGTTCTTGGATGAAGCGTTTCCACTCGGGGTTCTCGCGCTGCAGGTCGCGGTACAGGTCGTTGGACACGATTAGCCCGTCTGTGTCGTACGCCAGCTTCACGATGTAGCGGTCGTCGTGGCAAACTATCCGTTTACCGTTAACGCGCTTCGATGGCGTGAAGACCAGCAACTTCCTCTTCTCCAACTCTCGCAAAATGTGCTGATCTACAGAGAGAGAGAGACAGAGAATATTAAAACCATTCTTACCAGTGTTAAAGCTCAAGGCATTTCAGAGTGTGATTTAAAAATGATTATTTATTACATTTTTGTTGAAAGACTTAATAATTAGCGCAGGAACGTATGGGTAAAAATAAAGAAGACAATATTTGCAGTGGTCCAAATTTATGCATTCTAAATCCTAATTATTCACCTCGATACGTTTATAAGCGCTTTTCACAACTCATGATGAGCCGTGACAGTAAAACTAACAACAACTAGAATGCTGACAGCACACTTCCTGATTATCTGACAATAAACCATTTTAGAATCAGATGCGGACACAACACAGCAGACTTATTCTGACCTAAGAGCTGTTTGTACAATATATCTGTACTGGCAAAAGATGCATTTTGCTCCAGTACATAAAAATCTAGAGGCCGTTTAAAGGTGTATTTTGAGCACAAGACCACAAGAGGTCACTGCTGATCTCTTGTATAAAGCTGAGATTTTATATTTTATGACTTATTTTTATTAATTATTGTAAAAAAAAAATAAAAAAATTCACTTTTGAAAGGGCCCATACTACACTATTTTCTGATCTCTGTAATAATGTTGTTTACAGTGACCAGATTTTCAAAATCAAAAACTGGGACATCCCTGGTTTGTGGGGGTTGGTAATAATAAAACTGTGAAATGACTGAGTAATTAATCAACACTGTTCTGCACTCAGCCCGTTCATGACGAAGGTTACGTTCAATTCAGATTTTTTGTGAAATCCGATGTTTTTGCAATGTCGTTCACATTTCCAATTACCGTATTTTTCGGGCTATTAGGCGCTCTGGATTATAAGATACACTGTCATTAAATGGTCTATTTATGAAGTTTTTTCACAAATAAACCACACTGGACTTTAAACAACAGTGTGATGGGTGAGTGGTTTTGTTTGTTTGTGGCGTTCACAGTGACTCTGGGCTTTGTTCAGTTGTGGCGTGTAGGGAGGGTGTGTCTGGGACCAACGGATTGTTGCCGTGTTCGCAGTGACTCAGTTGTTCAGTCGTGTCTAGAAGTGGCACATTGCACTCACTTTTTCAGTTCGTTCCTCCGCTCCGTTCCTCGTCGGCGTGGAGTGATGAGTGTGTCTGTGGGTGTGTTTCGCTGTGCAGTCGCTGTCTGCTCCGTGTGTGTTTGTGTGTTCTGCGGGTGCTTCGGGTTTGTAGTTTACTGAAGTCGTGCTGGGACACCCGAGTGGATTCGTGTATAGGGTGCTCTGGATTGTGGGGCGTGCAGTTGTTTTTTGATGGGGTTGGAGGCTTAAGAGCGCGACTAATAGCCTGGAAAATACGGTAAATGGGACTTGTATGTGATCTCCAGTGTGAACTTTAAACACCCCAAAAGTGTCTCGCATGCACATAGGAGGACACGACGACGTCACACACAGCGAGAAGTCACCTAAACATGAGCAGGAGCACATATCCAGCGTCGCATTTGAAAAAAATCGGATCTGTGTCTTTCAGACTGTCTTTAAAAGGTCAGATACAGGAGCACAGAGGCCAAAAAAATCGGATTTGGGTCACTTCAGGCTGCAGTCTGAGCCGAACATGTGAGTCAGTTTTTAAGCAGCTTTTCTGTATTTTACCAAAACAGATGACAATTTATGTCTCTCTTTACTGTTGGCAGGGATCAGATTGATCAAAAATAGGGACAACTGGGACATTTCTTGTATAAAACTGTAACAAATCTGTGGTTTTGGATAAATCTGCTGGAACAGGACACAGACTCAAAACTGGAACTGTCCCGGGTCCATAAGGACGTTTGGTCAAACTAATGTTGTTTCCTCATCACAAGCGCACCAAAAACATCCAGCGTTGTGTTTTGTTTCATTCACACACATGCGTAACACACAAACCCTGCATATTTAGGAGTTCTAAATATGCAAGAAAATAGAGAACAACACCCTGTTCCACCTTGTGATGTCATGTGGTACTAGAGCAATTTGAGCTATAGAGATGTAAACAGAGAAATAATAAAGGATTACACAAACATCTGGAGTTGTTCCAGATCTGTTAATGAAGAGAAAATAACACTGGGTCCGGTCAAGTGGTAACGGAGGGAAACGGAGGCAGATTTTTGACATTCAAATGTCTCTTATTCAGAAACTAGAGGGACTATTGAAATAAGTAAAGTATCAGAATGTAGGAAAGAGTTACACTCCAACAGGGTCAAGTTAAACCTGTGATATTCTTTCAAGTTCAAGACAAAAAATTTAAAAACTCATGTCGCAGTAACGGAGGGAATGAAATATGCAGCACTTTTTGGGCAATAAATCCAAACAGTGATAACTCTTGGTTCTCACTTCCATATCCTTAACAAACTGGTTTGAATATTTGCTTCATATAGTTTTCTACCATATGGTACAAGATTAGGTTGAAAAACCTCTTACTTTTTGACTCATGAGATTTTTTTATTAAGAAAAGTCATGGTAACGGAGGGAAAAGTAACGGAGGGAAAATTGTGCAAACAAGTAGAAGGTGCAGGATTTTACATCATTTGTCAGTTTTTTTCTTCTGAATACTTTAATATTACTTCAAAATGAAAGGAAACTATTTCTATAAAATATGTCAGTCCTTCCAAGTAAATTTTTATCATTTTAAATACTTTTTTTTTGAAAAATCCTGTCCCTTCATCAACAGTTCAAAGATGGAATAACACAAGATATGATGAAATACATCCATTTATTGACATGATTTGCAGGTTTTTGAAATTTGGGAAATAATTTTTGTTCCATGTTTCATACATGGTCTGTTTAAAACATATGGAACTTTAGAACCAAAAATGGTACAGAAAAAAGGTCAACAGTTTCATAAACTAGAGTACATATGTATCTGTTCAATACATTTTTATATCAGATGCATTAACTTGTATTTTTGACCTTGCTGTTTACTTCTGCTTGACTTTATAACATGACTTAAAGCTCACAAGAGTCCATTTTGTGTAATATAAGACCTTTAAGGATTATTCACAAAAGCAGACACTATGACCAATGCACTGTCTTTTAGTTTTTTTTCTTTCATAGTCATTAGGTAACATCCGTGACCTGGTTTTAGAAATCAAACTTTCTGAGTCATAAAGTCAAACTAATGTGGCATAAACAGATAAAACAGCACTTTTTGTACTAATTGTACTTTTCTGGAGTAAAGACTGAGTGGAATATTTTCTTTTAAATCTTCACAGTTAAAATTTTAATGACCTAAATAAACATGATTATCATTTTCTTGACATCCCTAATCTGCAGGGAACGCCCAGTGATTTCATAATATTCAGAATTTTCCCAACTATATAACACAGCCAAGCCCTTTTACCCCAACAAGAGCCAACTTAAAAAAGAGCGAAGAAAGGCACGGAACCAATCATTCTCTGAGTCAACCATTTTACATTTAGTTAAGGGATTTTTTGTGTTTGTTTTCAGTGGAAATTCATCTCATATCTGCTTAATCTCTGTTTCAATTTGATGCAAAATAAACCGGGGGTATTCTCTGTGGTTGTGATGTGGTGATGACCTACATTCTGCTCCTCTGATGAAAGTGCACAACTGTAAAAAAGAACAAAGATACTGAAGATAGGTGGATTCTGTCGTGCTGCTATAGGCTGAGGATCGATCTGATGTTCGTCTGTGGGAGTTTGCCACCTGCTTGTCTCAACGGGGATCCACACTTTGGCATTTACTTATCTATCTTGTGATTATTAAATCCCAATAAAAACATGCATTCTGTTGCTGTTGTCAGCGCTCCACAGATCTGACCTGTCACCTGGCCTGGCTCTTCTCTGTGGAGACAAACATCCTGCCGTCACCGTGAACCAGAACTTTGTGGTGATGGTGTTTACGGTGATGTATCGTAAAGGGACAGGCGGGGAATCGACTCTGCAGTTTTCTTTTTTTTTTGTTTTTTTTCAAATCAACTTTTAATCATGGCCACAGATAAACAGCTGTACTCATACTTTCTCATGTAAAATGCAAACAGACTGCTGAGATGGCCTGATCATTTTCTTTTTTTGTGTGTAATGGACCCGGTCAAGCAGAAGTAAACAGCAAGGCCAAAAACTCAAGTTAATGCATCTGATATAAAAATGTATTGAACAGATACATATGTACTCTAGTTTATGAAACTGTTGACCTTTTTTCTGTACCATTTTTGGTTCTAAAAATGGTACTGTCTGTCCCAGCACCTGTTGTACTAGAGACGCACTTACGCTGGGACTTTTGGGCCGAGCCATGCCTGAGCGCTGTTACCTGTGGTCAGTGTTGGGAAGGTGACTTTTAAAATGTATTCCCCTACAGATTACAGATTACATCCCCAAAAATGTAGTTTGTAATGTAATCTATTAAATTACTTAAATTGAGTAACGTAATCTGAATACTTTGGATTACTTGATTTGTTATAGAGAAGCAAAGACGAGGAAATCTTCACATAAGATGTTTTGTCTGCTAAAAGAAAATAAAAAAGCACAGACTTTACTGAACCAAATTAAAAATATTACTGATAGAAGATAAAGAGACACGGTCCATGCAGCATGATTTAGTCCTGTTAAATCCTGCTTTAGTCCTGGTTTAGACCTGGTTTAGTCCTGGTTAAACCTGGTTTAGACCTGGTTTTAGTCCTGGTTTAGTGTCCGGCAATGAGTGGAATTACCAAAAAAAAAAAGAAAAAAAAAAAAGAAAAAGCCCAAAACAGGAAAATTCCACCATGTAATCCATTTATTTAAACAAAGTAACTGTAATCCAATTACCACTCCTTAAAACAGTAACTGTAACTGAATACAGTTACTCATAACTTGTACTCTGATTACATAACCCTGGTACATGTAATCTGTTACTCCCCAACACTGCCTGTGGTTCTGTGTTCACACCTGTGCGGCCGATGACGTCATCGCATGGGGCTGTTTGTTGCAAACAAAACAAACAGTGCTGTTCTGCAGAGGAGCTTCTGGAGAGGGTCTGTCCAGCGACATGAAGCGTCTATTGAGCGGTGGGACTGATGTTGCAGTGCTCGCTCCGCTGTGGGTCTGTGGACGTGGTGGCCGTGCGAGGAAGTGGGGGCAGTCGGGGGAGAGAGGCTGTGGTTCTTATGTCATCTTGTTTTTATTTGGTCAGATCGGCAGATACTCAAAATCAAAGGGCTCGGACTTGGGGCCAAAAAAATGTGATCGGTACATCCCTACTAAATATATCCGCTTTTATATCGGCTTTTATACCTCCATATCTGCCACAAAAAAACATCATATTGGTCGTACCCTAGTTGTTACCTCCTCAGAAACATACGTGGAGTTGTGTTTTGTCTATGTATCTCACACAGATAATAACAGTGTCATACGTGCCCTTTAACATTCACACTCTAGGCTGTATGTTACCTGAGATTGGCACATCGGGGCGTGGTTTCTCGCTCCTCCAGGACGGCACAAACACAGTCACACTTTTATGGCCTCGTTCCAGGAAGAAGTTCACAGCGATCTGGATTCCCAGACAGGAAAACACCTCCTTATTCCCATGACTGGAGGAAGAACAGAGAATATTTGGTTACACGGAAAAGAATACAGCCTCAGCACAACAGAGCAGTGAACCGAGCCAGAACACTCAAGTCCCAGTGTCATTTGTTCATTCGTTTTTCAATATAAAATTAAAAATAAGAAAAGGGGAAAGAAAAAAAAAAAAACTTCATTATTTATCTTCAAAACTAAAATGAAAAAATGGATAAAGATTTGTTTTTTCATTTTTCGATTTTGTGTTTAAAGGAATAATGGAAAAAACATGAAACCGTTTCGTGACTTAAACTGTGATGCTGGACTGAACCAGGACTGATGCTGGACTGAACCAGGACTAAACCAGGACTGAACCAGAACTGAACCAGGACTGAACCAGGACTAAACCAGAAATAAACCAGGACTAAACCAGAAATAAACCAGGACTGAACCAGAAATAAACCAGGACTGAACCAGGACTGAACCAGGACTGAACCAGGACTAAACTAGGACTGAACCAGGACTGAACCAGAAATAAACCAGGACTGAACCAGGACTAAACTAGGACTGAACCAGGACTAAACTAGGACTGAACCAGGACTGAACCAGGTCTAAACCAGGACTAAACCAGGACTGAACCACATCTCAGTGCTGGTCCCAGTCTCAGTCCTGGTCTCAGTCCAGGTCAGCAGTGTTGGGAAGGTGACTTTTAAAATGTAATCCCCTACAGATTACAGATTACATACACCAAAATGTAGTTTGTAACATAATCCATTAAGTTACTTAAAGTGAGTAATGTAATCTGAATACTTTTTGATTACTTGATTTGCTGTAGAGAAACAAAGACGAGGAAATTGTGACATAAGATGTTTTGTCTGCTAAAAGAAAATAAAAAAGCCCAGACTTTACTGAACCAAATTAAAAATATTATTGATAGAAAATGAGACACGTCCACACAGCCTGTCAGTTAGCAGCTAAGACAGTCCTGTTTTAGTCCTGGTTTAGTCCTGTTTTAGATCTAATTTAGACCTGGTTTAGTTTCCGGAAATGAGTGGAATTACAGAAAAAAAAAAAAAAAGGGGGATATAGCCCAAAATGTGAAAACAGGAAAATACCGCCGTGTAATCTAATTACCACTCTTTGAAACAGTAACTGTAACTGAATACAGTTACTCATAAGTTGTACTCTGATTACGTAACTCCGGTACATGTAATCTGTTACTCCCCAACACTGATGGTCAGACTGTTGATATAAAGCTCATCTTAAAGTATAACGGAGCTTCAGACAGAGCAGTGCTTACAGTTAGCTTCACATAACATCAACTATAAAGAATCAATGACTTAAACCAGGAGAGACAAACTCAAACTCACACTGGGCCAAAATTAAAAACTGGGACTAAATTGTGGGCCATTTTCAACAACATCTGCATGTTTTCTCTTCTTTCGTGATCTGTAATGTTAAACCTTTTCTTATTAAAATAACTGTTAAGAATAATTTTGTTTAAACATTGAATTCAGAACAATCATAATATAAATTAATCACAAAATTGTAAATAAATAACGTCTCTTTAGTACGGAAGCTGAGAGGGGTCACAACAAACGCAAACGCCGCAACAAATACAAACGCGACAACACAACAAAAAGCCACAACACAGAAATGACCGCGGGACTCTATTTTAATGCAAACGCCACAACAAATACAACACACTAAAAAGCCACAACACACTAAAAAGCCACAACACATTAAAAAGCCACAACGAAAGTGACCGCGGGACTCTATTTTCTGACGGACCGATCAAGCGGCAAGTGAAGAAGAAGAACTACAACGTGAAAAGTAAAGGAACGGAGAAGTTGGAAACGTCAGTAAAAGTAATTTATTGTTTTATCATTATTCGTTTCACGTTGTAGTTCTTCTTCTTCACTTGCCGCTTGATCGGCCCGTCGGAAAATAGAGTCCCGCGGTCACTTCCATTGTGGCTTTTTGATGTGTTGTGGCTTTTTGATGTGTTGCGGCATTTGCATTTGTGTTGTGGCGTTTGTATTTGTTGCGGCGTTTGCATTAAAATAAAGTCCCGCGGTCATTTCCGTTGTGGCTTCTTTTGGTTTGTTGTGGCTTTTTGTTGCGCTGTCGCATTTGTATTTGTTGCGGCGTTTGCGTTTGTTGTGACCCCTCTCGGCTTACGTACTTTAACCTGACTGTAGTCGGCGGGAAGCTCTAATACATATTTGGTATGATCTTGTGGGCCAAATAAATATATCGCGGGCCAAATTTCTGTCTGATATGTCTGACTTATCCAGCCTCACCTCATGTTTTTGTATTGTTTTGTTTTGTTTTGTTTTTGTTGAAAATGACCTGAACATGTCATCTTAGTTGAAGCCTCATTAACTACTTAGTGTTGAAAGGTTGTGTCATATCATCATGTAATAACTGACGTGTGTGTGTGTCTCTGTGTGTGTGTGTGTGTGTGCGCGTGTGTGTGTGTGTGTGTGTGTGTGTGTGTGTGCGTGTGCCGGAGCAGACAGTGTACACAGAGTCCCGGCCAAACACAGGTTAGAGTGATCGGGCCGGTTCTGTCGGGGGAATACAGGAATGTCTGATTTGCATATTCACTCTACGCACGACAATGGATGAGTACAGACGTGTAGAGGAGGCCCGCTCGAGACCTGGCTTAGTCCTGGTTTAGACTTGGTTTAGTCCTAGTTTAGTTCTCGTTTAGACTTGGTCAGTAATGGTTTAAACTTTGTTAGACCTGGTTTGGTCTTGGAATAGACATGGTTAAGTCTGGGTTTGTCCTGTTTGAGTCTTGGTATAGTCCTTAGGTAGTCCTGGTTTAGTCCTGTTTTAGTCCTGGTTTAGTCCTGGTATAGTCCTGGTATAATCCTGGTTTCGTCCTGATATAGTCCTGGTATAGTCCTGGTTTAGTCCAGGTTTTGTCCTGGTTTAGTCCTGGTTTAGTGTGTTTAAAATGCATATTGATCTTTGCAGATGACAGAGAACAGGTAAACATAGAGGGCTGCAAAAGTCCTGGTTCAGTCCTGGTTTAAACCTGGTTTGATCCTGGTATAGACATGGTTCAGTCCTGGATTAGTCCTGGTCCAGTCCTGGTTTAGACCTTGTTTGGTCCTGGTGTAGTCCTGGTTTAGTCCTTGTTTGACATGTGAATTGTCACCGCTGCTAACTACAGTTAACGTGGAAATGTTAAAGTGTAGACATAAGATAAAATAAAAGAAGGTTTAGGTGTGATTTAAGCCTGGTTTGGGCCTGGTTGAGTCCTGGTTGAGTCCTGGTTTGGGCCTGGTTTAGTCCTGGGTTAGACCTGGTTTAGTCTTGGTCATTTGCATACTGACCGCTGCAGATGCACACATGACAGATGACAACAGTGTGTGTGACACACATGGGTTTAGTGTGTCTCATTTGCATATTCACCTTCAGCGTGCTCAGTCATGTGGAGGGTTTGGTCTCGTCCTGGGTTACTCCTGTTTCACTCTTTACTCTGTCTCCTTTTCAGTGAACACGCAAACAGAGAGGCCTGCTCTAGTCCTGCTTTAGACCTGCTCTGCTCCTGGTTTAGTCCTGGTTTAGTCCTAGTTAGTATATTTTATTTTCCTGTTAAATAAAAAACAGTGAGTATGTAAACTGAGAGAATCCTGGACTTGTCCTAGTTTAGCTCTGGTTTAGTCCTGGTTTAGTGCTGGTTTAGTCGAGGTCTAGACCTGGTTTAGTCCTGTTTCAGACCTGGGTTAGTCCTGACTTGAACCTGGTATAGAGGAGCTTTATTATTTGTATAATGATTGCTGCAGTGTATGTGAAGGTGTGTCCACATATATCATAACGACCTGGTGGAGCGTGTCTGATTTGCATATTCTACCTGTGTAGATAGAACAACATGTAAACATAAAGGACTGCGAGAGAGTCCTGGTTTAGTTCTAATTTAGTCAAGGCTTAGACCTGGTTTAGTCCTGGTTTGGACTCTGGATTACTGCAGGCTCGTACACACTACAAAATATTGTGGCTTGGGCAGGATTTTCTTAGCTGGAGGATTCTGACTATAATTTTGTCTGGGCCAAATATTGCAAAACTATTTGATATAAAAAAAAACACACACACACACAGACACACACACACATATATATAATAAAAACATAAATAAAAAAAAAAAATAAAAAAAAGAAAAATAAAATAATAATAAAATTAAAATAAATAAAATAAAAAGTAAAAAGTGCATAAAAATACATAAAAATAAAAAGTTTAAAAATAAAATAAATACAAATAATAGTAAAATAAAAATAAATAAAATAAAAAGTAAAAAGTACATTGAAAAAATTCATTAAAATAAAAAGTTAAAAAATTAAATATATACAATAAAAACTAAAAAGAATAAAATAAATAAAATAAATAAAAATAATAATAAAATACAAATAAAATAAATAAAATATAAAAATATATAAAAAATACTAGTCATATACGGTATATATATTTTTTTTATTTTTTAAGAATTTCAAATATTTTATTTTAATATTTTAATCTTTTGTTCTCTTCTATATGAACGTCTTTTTGTAATGTTTGCTCATTTTTCTGATCCAGGGTCCATCAAACACTTTTCTCCGTGGAGATGTTTCACAGTATGGCATTAAACCTTTCTTTCACCATGGAAACCAGAGTAAACCAGACCAAATTACAGTCAGAAAATCTGTTTTTCTCTGGATTTTTGAGCTATAAAAGCACATGTAATTGAATAAATGTAAAGTAGAGCTGTTTAATGTCATACTGTGGAACATTCCAGGCAGAACAATGACGTCTCCGTAGAAACAAGCATGTGACAGAACAGACCCACTATTGAAAAGTTACACAGTGCACCTCGAATTCAGCACAAATATCAATACTGTGTCTGTACCTGTTATGTCACGTAAGAATAACATGCAAAATATTGTCTATAAAACAATAAAGTACCAACAAATATGAATAAAAATTTTTTTTTTAAAAAGTCAGTTTTCTCTCACCTCATGGCCACGTTGCTCCCGTCTATCACTATGTGCCTGTACGGGTCGTCCTCCTCTCCGCTCTCCTCGGGGCCCGGGCTCGGTCCTGACCCTGGCGGAGGGACCTGCGCTGGGGCCCGCTCCGTCCTCGCCTCCCCCCGGACGATGGGGATGTTCATCCGCACGGCCTGGGGGTTCGGCTGCTCCGCCTCCCCGATCTTCATCAGCTTCTCCAGCACTTTATCCGTGTCCATCCCCGGGCCGAACTTGCGCAGCACCTCCTCGACCTGCTCCGTGGAGTAGCCCAGTTTGTGGAAGAGTTCTAGGCGGGTTTTGGAGGGAGCCTGCTGCGGCGGAGAGTCAGCGAGGCCCAGGGAGATGGAGTTAGGGGCGGAGGAGGTGGAAGATTGAGGAGGAGACGACGGCCATGGTAAAGAGTTATCCTGGAACATTTCAATCCAACTGCCTCTGGTGGAAAGCACCTCGGAATTCATGTTTGTCCTTAAAAAACTGTTGCGTCCATTTCCAAACCTGTAAAGTGTAAAAAAAAAACAGTATAAGCTCACGAGAATTCACTTTGTAGAATAATATATCATGCACAAAATGAATCAATAGGAGTAATAGTTTATTTGGTCATTTTGCAGCACAACAAAACAAAACACAAACTGTAAACAATCCGTGTATCATTCGTTCATTCGTTTTTCGAAATAAAAGAAAAATAAGAAAACAAAAAAACAACTATTTTCTTCATTATTTGTCTCCAAATCCAAAATGAAAAAATAGATAATGATTCGTTTTTTTGAGTTTCTGATTTTGTGTTTAAATGAATAATGGGAAAAAAATGATAACGGTCGTTTCCAGTTTCCGTGACTTAAACTGCGATGCGACTGAACCAGGACTAAACCAGGACTGAACCAGGACTAAACCAGGACTAAACCAGGACTGAACCAGGACTGAACCAGGACTGAACCAGGACTGAACCAGGACTAAACCAGGACTGAACCAGGACTAAAGCAGGACTAAACCAGGACTAAACCAGGACTGAACAAGGACTAAACCAGGACTGAACCAGGACTAAACCAGGCCTAAACCAGGACTGGACCAGGACTAAACCAGGACTAAACCAGGACTGAACCAGAACTAAACCAGGACTGAACCAGGACTAAACCAGGTCTGGGCCCAGGACTGAGACTGAGACCAGGACTGAGACTGGGACCAGACCAGGACTGAAAACAGTTTAGTCCTGGTCTAGTCCTGTTTTAGTCCTGGTTCAGTCCTGGTTCACTCCGGCATCGCAGTTTAAATCACGGAAACTGGAAACGACCGTTATCCTTTTTTTCCATTCTTCATTTAAACACAAAATCGAAAACTGAAAAAACAAATCGTTATCTGTTTTTTCATTTTGGTTCTGGAGACAAATAATGAAGAAAATCGTTGTTTATTCATTTTCTTATTTTTGATTTTATATTGAAAAACAAATGAACGAATGACACACGGATTACAAACCCATGGCTCATGAGCGAAACCGTTTAAAATTAAATATAAGTACTTCAAAAGCCAAACCCTGTTAAACAATGACAGAATTCAAAGAAAGAAAAGCAGCGTTTGAACAGGTTTGCATTTACAGTTTCACTTATGACTTACTGTAAAGAAGAGACAAAATATAAACTAAAACAAAAACACTTTAATGCATAATTCGTTCATTCCAGAGCTCTAATCAAGATTTAAATGATCAAATCTAAAGACCAAAAAAGAAAATACACTTTATCTACATCATACAGAATTATCCAAATTGAAAATCCAAAACTTTGAACCAACATTTTTTAAAGAAATTGTCCAAAAACTGAATAGGTATGTAACTTAAACTCTCCATTGCTTTTTGGAGCTATTCTGAAAAAAAAAAAATCATTCCACCTTTGTTATTTATCCTGAATCAAATGTAAATCCGCACTCGCCAAATCCTCTTTTTCCTCTGTTGCTCTTGGAATAATTCGCCAACAGAGACTGAGGGGTGAGTGTGAGTTGAATCATTAGTAGAATGTAGAATGTGTGCGTGCAGATGTCGGGTGTTGATGGGAGTTGAAGGGGTAAGAGTACATGATGTGGTTGTGGTGTATGTTGTTTTTAGAATAGTATTTTAACACTGTGACCTCAATATCTCTTTTAATTTATTTGTGGTCAGTTTATCAGGGAACTCCAACGTTTTTCCTCCAGTGAGCTACTTTTACAAAACCAAAACGCCAGAGAGCTATGTGTTTCAGCATTCGCAAAGAAACTGAGTAATATAAGAGCCTCGGCAGGCCTTAGACACAGAACAGTTAGACCAGGGGTGTCAAACTCATTTTGGTCCGGGGGCCGTATCCAACCGACTTTGATCCCAAAAGGGGCCGGATCAGAAAACTCATGTCATATCCACCTAAAAATAACAATAAGTTCAAATATTTGTGCAGAGAAACACAAATCTATTACAGAAATCTTTTTTAACTGATGAACTCTTTCTTTTACAAAATATTATAATATTCTGAACAACCTGAAACTTTAAGAAAAATGCAATTTCAACACAAAGTTTTAACATGAACTTGTATGTAAATAAGTACATTTTTCTTGGAGGTGTCCACTTTTCTCATGTTGGACATTTTTCTGATGAGGGTTTCACGGTCAACAGTCAAAACGATCGTCCTTTAAGAGCGTTTGGAAAGAGACAAGTCTTTCATTTGTGCTGCTCTGGTGGGAGGGGCCACGTACAGAGACGCTGGAGACGCTGCTGTGATAAACACTGCAGAAAATTACCAAGATTTTAAGAGAAAATATAATTAAAACATTTTAGTAGAAAATCAGCCGAGGGCCAGATTAAAGGACTTGGAGGGCCGGATCAAGCCCCCGGGCCTCATGTTTGACACCCCTGAGTTAGATGCTCATGAAACAGAAACCATTATCCGTTTATCAGAGCACAAGGTTAAGCATGATACATTTACAGCGGTTTTTAATCAAAATTTCCTATTCAACACAACACTTAGTATTCAGAAATCCCTTGGCGAGCTCCTCTGAAGGGTGTGGAGAGCAGCTGGTATCTCCTGAGCGACAGGTTGGAGACGCCTGATCCATACACACTGAGTCTGTACTGTCAGTGTTTCCACCAACCTGCTCAGGGATTACACGTGTCAATGAGCTTCCATACTATCATCTGCACCAGCATCTTTCCTGTGACTTCTGTCTTGGTTCATGTCCTGTTGTGCACTGTCCCAATTAGGGATGGACATTTGATGAAATTTCATTAATCAATCGTCGGGAGAATTAACGATCGATTAATCATTAATGTTTTTATATTAAAATAATCATTATTATTATTACTATCTGCACTACTAATCTACATAAATAAATTCAACTTTATGACATATAAACCGTGACCACTCTAGAGCCACATCAGCCGTTTGAGATTAGAATGTGTTTAATGCAGATTGGCGCACGTCTCACAGACACAAAACTTAAAAGAGCATGGCTCATTTTCATAAACTAAGTAAAGAAAAAAACACCAGGCAAAGCTTTTTCATGTTTTTCAGTGTCCTGGTGCTTTGAGGTCCCCAACACCACCACTGGACACCGAAACATATGTGCTGCTTTGTACACTGTGCACATGATCTCCCACTTGTCTCGACCGGGATGAAAAGCAGGGAATTTCTTGTACAAGTCATCGTTAAATGCGTATTTGTGCTTCAGTGTGTTGCAGACTGACCGACTGTTTGTGTCTGCTCGCTCCTTCTGAGTGCAGAGAGCTACGAGAGATGCTCAGTTTAATGTTCCAAGTGAAAGGAAATGAAAACCCAGACATTTGCGTCAGTTTATAAAAAAAAGTCCGGACGGCCAGGACAGGAAGTGGAAAATTGACATGTCCGAGGAAAAAAAAACGAACGTTTGGTCACCCTACACTACGCACAGCAACCAATATTCACATTTGTCGATTAAAAATGAACGGAATCGACAAAATTCTTAATAATCAACTATCGATTAATCGTCTAATCATGCTCATCCCTAGTCCCAATACAAATAAAAACTATACAACACCTACATACAATCAGTCCTGACGCAGAAGACGTCGCGCTTTACATCAGGCTGAACTGGGCCAGATGGAGATTCAGTTGTCTCTAATCGAGTTCACACTTTTCAGGAAGAAATTTGAGGATTTTTTTGCGGCACATGGCAATTACTACAAAAATATTTGCTTAATAAGACAAAATAAAGTGAAATTGTAATTTGTGATTGATAAATATAAAGAAAAACTAAGAATGTTGGTGCTGTCATTGGAAAAGTTGCAGTTTCAGTCCCTGGTTGGGCCTTTCACTGGTTGTAATAAAATGATTTACAAGCAGATTTTGGCCCAGAAAGTTTGATCATGTTCATGCAAATCGGTTCCATAGTGATTTAAAGGATAACAGTTATGCAAACCAGTTGGATCTCTTGCGTAATAGGTGAAGTGTGTTTTAAGGGGATTAGCGCCATTTTCCATCTCTATACTGGTAATATCAGGTATCGGCAGTTACTTAAAGGAGTATTTTGTTTCATAGTACGATATTAAACCTTTATATCTTCATGGAGACCAAACGAGACCAAGGTACAGGATAAATCTGTGGAGTTGCGAAGCCGCTCAAAGTCAGAATGTCTGTTTTTCTAGGTATTTTGATCTTAAAAAAACACCCGTAATTCAATATATGTAAGGTGGAGCTGTCATTCTAAACAAAGAAATGACATCTCCATAGAAACAAGCATTTGCCAGACCCTCAACCAAAACATTACACAGTGCACCTTAAAAATCTAAGTATCAGAGCTGAAAAAGCTGGATCAGTGCAACGTAAATGAAAAACAACGGCATGAGACGATGGTATATTGTCTTAACTCAAACCTGGACCAAACCTGGACTAACTTTATGACTGATACTTTGCGCATGCACCAAAAGCAGTCATGTTTTATGGTACCACAGGGATACTCAAGCACATACATAAAGAACAGAGTTTCGTACCTTTTAATGACCCGACTAAACCCTGACGCCACAGTAAGCAGGTCTCAGATACTAAAGAGTCACACTGTCGACCTTTCTGGTAAAGAGTCCGGCACCTGCTCGACTCCACAGACACCGGGAAGTTTAAAGCCGCACTGTGCAAAATTCCAGACAAAGCGGTAATATCTCCATGGAGACAGGTAAGTGGCGAATCCTCAACCAAAAAGTGAAGCAGTGCACCTTTAAATAATGATACACAACCTTACAAGTATTAATCAATCTTTAAGAAAAATATCATTACCAAATATGAATTATAATTACAATCACAAATATGCTATTCATTGTAGTAGTAGTAGTAGTAGTAGACATTAATATACTCTAGAAGTAGAAGTACAAGTAGTTAGAATGAAATTAAAGCCTTTTATAATGTAGATAAAACATTTTACTATTACACTACTACCACTACAATAACTAGGCCTACTACTACTACTACTACTACTACTTTTACTACTGTTGTCTTAATGTAAGAAACACAAACTTGTTACAGTTAGTTAATTGTAAGATTAAAAAACAGCAATAAGCAAAATTAGTCCAAAAACAAAAATATTGTCTTATTGCGTACGTAGCGTCAGTATTTGTCTACGAACTTTGGCTTATACATGAAATACATACAAAAAACCTAAAAGAAATCTGAGTTTTCGGGGTTATAAGTGTGTAATGAACACTCACGACAGCTTTCAACAAGATTTAGGTGTAGTCATTTGCGCGTTTTGTTAAACTGACACGTCTCTTTTCGTTCTAAAACCTCTTCGCTTGCGTAACCGTGCGTAAAAGTTCAAAATCATTCTATAAACGACTTACCTTCTGCTTGATCCTCTCCCCACAGCCTCGTTATGTCCCGTGAGTCTTTCGTTCGCACAGAGGAGCCATGAGCGCGC